TGGAGTAATGGAACAAAAATGGAAAAAATCAACACAGAAGCATTTTATTATAAGGCTGAGAGGTGCTTGATACCACTTTAGTTTTTCATGTAAAGTGTATAGAGAAACTAAAATCCTTCTGATCATTACTTTCCTACCAGAAAAAAAAAAATTGTCTGGGCCAAGTCCTCTTTGCTTTGCTTGCTGGCAGGGTGGAATTTCTTGACAGCAAAGAAAAGCAGCACTCAAACAGGGAGGCAGGTCATATATACATATATACAGATACAGTGGGGCTGCATCAAACTGGTTCTTTCAGGATCCCATAACTCTGCCCACACGGTGCTGATGCACAACGTGCTCCTCGGGGCTGCACTTGGATGTGGAATCGTGTCATTATAGTGGCAAAACTCAGGGTGGTTTTGCTCCTCTCTCCTCAGAGATGGGCTCTGACAGCAGTGCCCTCAAGTCCTCTGTTCAAACACTGACCAATTTGAAATCTGGCCTGAACTCATCAAGGCTCTGAGTTGATCAGAAGAGGACAAGTTACTGTATTAATTGCTTTCAGTCGATTGATTGCTTTTTGAACGGTGTTAGAGGCCTGCAAGTCTCACACATTTTCTGCTTGGAGTAGCTTTCCTTTCTTATCCAAAAATACAGTTAGAAAACTTAGAGTGGTTTGATCAAATGTTTGAAGAGCAGCTTATGGGTTTGACACATATAAATAAAATAATGATAAATAGAATTGTGGCTGTTGATAAACGAGCACTGCAATGGTGAAGGTGTGTGGAGAGCTGAGGGTGACTCTTCCCAGAGAGGCCGTGGTGAGGAGGGAGGAGATGCCTGTCCAGCCATACCTGGGAGCTGCTCCTGATGGCTTTTCCACAGATGTCCAGCTCTGTCAAAAACCACTAAATCTTGTGAAGTTTATTTTCCTTATAGCATCTGTGTTTTATAATGGCGCTTTTAATTTGTTGTTTCTCTGCCTGCTGGGATTTCTTTTGTCCGGCCCTTTCAGGCCTCCCTGTTTTCCTCGGTGGAAGTGAGTCTGTCAGTGATGGCTGGTCTGGGAATACAGCCCGGCCCGGCGGCCGCTCCCTCCCTCTGACAACAAAGCACATTGTTGTTTGCTCTCTTCACTTTTATCCTCAGCTTAATGCGTTCTGCCTTTGGTTGTCCGTGGAATGAAATGTCTGGAAAAGCGTGGCTCAGGTTTTGGGGGGATGAGATGAGATGGGGGTGGGTTTGGAGGCTCTCAGCAAACAGGTACAAAGGCAGAACCCACTGGTTTTCCATGTCTCTGTAGGTATGGAAGTTCATCCAGTGTGTAAGGCTGGTTTTCCATGTCTCTGTAGGTATGGAAGTGCATCCAGTGTGTAAAGCTGCACTTGGAAATAAACTTCAGTCAGACTCCAGAGCCACGGCATCCCTGGCTTTTTGGAAGTCCCTTAGTAAAATTAGTAAGAGATTTACCAGCAGCTTAAATTGAGACATAAGCCTGTTTTTCTTTTATTTCTCTCCAGTGGAGATCTGAAAGGCTGAATTAGGATTAACCAGAGGAATTTTTTGTTGTGGGTTTAGCAGGAATTCATACCTTGAGTGGAAATAATGCGAGTCCTGAGCTGTGGCCCGGGCTGGAGAGGGAGTGCAGGCACATGGGAAAATAAAGCTGAGCCTAAACTGGCTTTAATGCATTCCGTGCACAGCTCTTGAACTCTGATCCAAACAACTCTTCCCTGGCAGCCCCTGGAACGACAAATACTTGACCCAAGGGACTTGCCTTGCACGGGGTCCTGAGGGCTGTTGAGCTCAGCTCCGGGTGAGTACCGAGGGAAAGAGCCCCCTCCCTCGGGATGCTCCCCTGGAAACCTTCAGAGTGACCCTTGGGAGGACGTGTTTGCCATGGCATTGGGAGGGTGGCCATTGATCCCCCTGAATTTCTCTAAATTCAGCAGGAAGTGTCCCTGGGCAGGCAGTAGGATGTGATCTGTGTGCAGCTGTCAGTGCACAACCGAGTTACCCCTCACAGCTGAGTGCGCTGTGCACGTGTCCTGAGGTAACTGGAGTTCAGGGTTCTGCATGAAAAATATTGGATATTTCGAGCAGACTTAAACTTTGGCTTATTTGTTGCCCGTCCTTTGACAGTGAATCAACAACTGCTCGAGCTGTAGAAATAATGTTGATGCTTGACTGCATTCTTTGTGCTCTTTTGGCCTGATCCAGCAGCCCTGTGCACACACAACTCCTGTTTACTGCAGGAGTTTCCTACTTGGACAGGCTGGAGGAATGGAAGGGGAATTTTTCCAATTTCTGGAGGGCTACAGCAGCACACCAGAAAATTATGGGGTTTTCTTTAACCTTAATGGTCCACACCATCTTAATGTTACTGTATTTAGATTCTGAAGAACAACTTTACTGTCAGAAATAATCTCTCTCCTTTCTGCAGCGTTCCAACTTGGAATTTTTTACTTCTATCACTTTTAATTACATTTTTTCGCAGTTAAGCAACTGAATGTTGCTGCAGAAAATACAGGCTGGCAGGCAATGGTTGTTGTGACATATGTTTGGTAGTTACAGCTCTTTCATTTGTCACAGCTGAATTTTTTTCTCGTGGTTGGGCTGTGCATTATGAGCTCTGCTTTAGTTAATTTTTTATTGAGGTTTGTATACATCAGATTAAGCTGTACTTCTAAATATATATTTACAAATTAAATGCTGAACGTTTTTTGGTTTTTGTTTTTTTTTTTGGAAAGAGGAATCATCTTAGATTTTGGTCCTATTCAGCATCTCTTTTATACCTTTTCATTCTCTCTTAATAGCTTAGTGCTTTTTTCCCTTTACTCTGTGTTTTCTTATGTGTGAGGCTGAGAACTGCAGGATGTTATAACTACAATTAATAAAAAGCTCTGAGGGAGTGACTTAATCCTGCAGTTTTCTGAGTATCCCTGACTGCCTTGGGATTCCTCAACTTGCTTGGAAGTAAAGCAGCTCATCCTTGTGTTGGAAGGACATCTGTAAATTCCTCCTTCCTCTGCATGCAAATATTCCATCGAATCAGCTGATGGTTTTGCATGTGGAAAACCACATGGAAGTTGGGAGTGGGTCATTAAATGTGCCTTGAGAGGGGACAGGGGCTGTTACCACAGCCTTTGGGTCAGGAGTTCCTAGTTAATCATTATATTCCAAACAAGTAAAAGAAAACAGATTACAGGCAGATTTGGAGCCCCCTCTGCAGATACTGGGGGTGTTTGCTGTGCAAATGTGGATCAAGGGGAAGATGGGAGAGGGAAACACTCTCAGAGAGGCCTTGGCTGCATGAACAGTAACTAATTAGACAGTAATGCACAAAACTATTCATGGGCCTTTCTGCAAGAACCAAGACTGTATTATTAAGCTAATCTTAAAAAAATTAATTGCATCTCAGTCTTAATTTAAAACTGAGCCGGGCTGGGGTTTTTTTGGTTTTGTTTTGTTTTTTTTTTTCCCTTTTCTTTTTATTCCAAGTTGGTGCAGGAAAATTGCTATTAATGAAATCTGCTCTCTGGGACTTCAATGGGCTCGTTCTTCATTAAAGCCTCGCCATGTCTCTTAAAACGTATTGAGCGAGCGGAGACTCCCACAAAATCCACTCTGTAATTTCAGCATTTCTCTTATTGTGCCAGCCTGACATGCAGAGCTCTGGGGACTTTGCAGAAAACCCCCAATAAAACCCCCTAAGCTCACAGTTATATAGTATTAAAAGAAGGGTGAAGGAAGCCTTGAGTGTCTTTAGGATGATGAGACATTCATTAAGATTTTTCCGCCTTCCTTTTCCTATTTTCAATCCATCTGAAGGACCATTAAAGCTTTTCAGGCAGCTTCCTGTGAGAAACCCTTTGCTGTGCTGTTTTTCTTCCTTGAAAAAAGGTGGCTGCTCTTGAGGCAGATTGTATGGATTTGGCCTGGGATTTGTATAATATCTGTGTAGAATGCAGCAGTTGTTTAGGAACCTAATTCCCAATATGGCTCCCTTTTGATTAAGAACAAAGCCAGCGTTTCACAGCATTACAGGAACACAGAAAAACAAGTTAATGATCTAAACCTTTTAATTCATGGTTGCTTGTCTATTTAAAGTACTTTTGATTCTGCTATAAACAGACTGGCCCCTTTTTTTGTTTAACTTCTTTCTTTGGTTTCTTCGCATTTCTTTCTTTACTGTCCATGAAATTTGGAGCTCGTTTCCTTTTCCAACTGAAGAATGAAAGGTTGTGACTACAGAGTGATACAGGGAGTAAGAAAAGCGTATCCAGACTGGGCTTCCATCCAGCACAGACCTCTTTGAAACAAGCTAAATTTAGGCTTCTCGGGGGTTTTCTGCTTGTGTTTTTTCCCTTTCCTTTTTTTTTTTTTAATTTTTTTTCAATACCTATGTTTCATTTTCTCCTTTCTGAACAAAGATGAAGTTTATGACTTTTTTGACACTTTCTTGATTTTTACATGTAGTTTGGCCTGGGTTTATTTTATATAGTTACTTGAGATTTTCTTCCAGCCTTAGTTCTGCAGATGATTATTCTCTGTGTCTTTATCCACTGGGACAACAAAAGCGACCTTTTCAGGACTTCCAATTACCAACACTGTATGTGGTACTTTAGGAAAATAATTCCCTTCCAGATATTCTTTTCTTTTTAAATAGAGAGTTGGAATCCAGAGCTCGTTCTTCAAATCGAACTCAAATACTTTTTGGTGAACAAAACTGTCAGGGCAGCAGCAGCAGCAGCAGGAATAATTTCCCTTCCATGGAAGGAAATCCTTGCTTATCCCCCTGTATAAAATTAGTATTTGCTGCTTCCATTGCCATTTATTTTTTATCTGAAGATGAATTTTTTCAGATTTTTTTTTTTTAATTGCGACGGGAGATCATTTTTTTGGTTTATTTTTTGAGGGCTTTTTTTTTAAAAAAAATCTTATTTCGGTCCGATGTAGAAATGCCAAATGAAGATAAAAATCCCAATAATGTGTCTTCTCACACCTCTGTTCCCATGAAGGTAAATTGAACAGCCAAGACACTTACAACAACTTCACAAACAACAATCCTGGGAACCCTCGGCTGCTGCCTCTTCCAAGCCTGACCGTGGTGTTGCCTCTTGCTCAGATCAAGCAGCCAATGACGTTGGGGACCATCACCAAACGCACAGGGTGAGTGCACAAACCTTCCTTAACCTTCTTAGTTATCACTCAGGGGCAAAGAATTTGGGTTACTGGTGATAATTAGTTTTATTCCTTACTTTAATTCCAGTGTACGGAATTTGCTTGGCAGCAGAAGGGGTCGGGGGGGGGAAGAGGAGACAAGAAAACCAGCATCAGAGGAGTGAATTAAACCTGCAAAGAAATCTCTGTAAATTCAGGAATATTCATTTGGGTGGCTCAGGAGAAGTTTTCACACCAGGAATGGGAATGAAACATAAGCAGAGCTGTATTCAATCAGAATAAAATATGGGTTTACTTTTTTTTTTGGAAAAGTTTGTTTGGATTTCCAACCTTTTCAAGCAGAATTGATTTTTTTGACTACCAGAGCTGCAAAGACAGTAAAGGCAGGTTGAGCAGAAAGGCAGAACTTAATCCTGCTGTTTTCCTTGACCTTATTTTTCCTCTGAAGTGACTGTGCTGGACTGTGTAACTCACGTGTGGACTCCAGAGCCAGCTGCACTTTGCTACTTCTCACTGGGCCAGGATAAAGCATTTCAGGATATTTGTTGGGAAAAACTCCTCTAAATATACATACAATTACTAGGAAGATTTTTGTGAGCTTCATAAGCTATAACAATATTAAGTTAATTCACACTGTTCAACAGTTGATACTTCTGCTAAACTTCAAATCTCTTATTACAATTAACACAGAAAGCTACTGGGTGATGAGTATATTTTTTTCCCTCTTAATTTTTAGTGCTTCGAATCCCTGAATATTTTCTAATTAAAAGTCTGATTCATCCATTAATTTACAGAGGGTTTTTACATTTTTAAGGAAAATAGATCGAGCATGGCATGTTGTTGGACAAAACAACAGCTTCCTACAGCTTCCTAACATTTTCCTGCTTTTTGCCCAGTGCAGGCACTGCCTTCCTTTGCCTCAGTGCTTTCTTGCTCAAACTCTGCTCGTGAGGGGAATTTTTACCTTGTGTTTCGTGAACTGGGAATTGTTTTTCAGGATATTCCCCCTCTCCCTGAGTAATTCCCACATTCTGTGCTTCAGCATCCAGGCCATCCTGTAAGATCTGTGTTGGTTGGTGCACTGAGTGGTGCCTGGTGACCCTCAGAAGCTTGATCTGTGTGCACATAAATGTGTATCCACACACGTGTCTGTCCAACAATCCTGCTCTTACCCATGGAAACTGGAATTTCATGGAGCCAGATCGTGAGCTCTGAACACACAGTTGCCCTCAGCACAGAGGAATCCCTGAACTTCACAGAGAATTGGAAATGGAACTTAGGAAACAGTAAAGAAGCAGTCTGAGGGTCGTGTTGGGGTTTAGCTTCCTCCACACACACATTTCAGCTGCTTATTTGTGCCTTTTTTTTTTTCCTGCTTGCAGTTTAAACACAGGTGAGGGGAAAAAAAGGTTGTGCTGCTGGTCAGGTGAATCTGGAAATGGGGAGGAGGCCAGGAAGGGAGGTGGGATGAGGGGGAGGTTGGTGTGCAAGGAGACGAGCAGGAAGTCACAGCTCCTCAAAGAGGGGAAATAATGAAAATGTGGCTTGAAGAGTATGGTCAGTGAAGGACAGAAATAGAAATCTGGGCTCCTGGAACTGGGATAGACACTTAGAACCAGATGGGACAAGGCAGAGAGAGGAATTAAAAATCCACCTGATGGCCTGCCAGAGGAGGTAGGGGACAGGAGTGCTGGGGAGGAGCAGGATTTGGGAAAAAACACTTGGTTTGCAATAATAATTCATACAAAACCCATTACAAAGGCTGTTTCCTGAATGCTTGATGATACCAGCAAACCTTTCTAAAATTATTGCATGTGTAGTAAGTCTGCATTACTTTATGGAATATTTCATTCTTGAATATCTTAAACATATTCAGAGTGTTCATATTCATGGTTTTCCCATAAATGATACTATTCACCGACTGTCTCTGCCCCATTCTGTGCGATTTTAAAAGCTAATTAAATTTAAAATGCTCAGTGAGGCTTATGCAAGGGGGGAAGACAACAGTCCTGGGAAATACCCTGCTGTGTAAGTAGAGTTTTGGTGGATGAGGATCATAATTTTCCGCCCGGCCCAGGTCGCCGTGTCACACTGAGCCGAGGGCTCCCTTCATTTGTTCTGCATCCAAAACATCTGATGAAAGCACAGCGAATTAACATGAAAAGCTGCATTTATAAAACACATTTAAGAGGAATGCCTCACATCCCAGAAGCCTGACATGCCTAAAATGACCAAATTGAGACAGCAGCCTTAACTTAAACCTCCAGGGGGCAAAGCGTGTGTTTAACATATTTAACATCTGCCCTCGTATTTCTGCAAACACGTCGCACTGCGGGGCTGTGCAGTGTGAGCTTTCGACAGGACAGGGACCATCTGCCTCACTGGAGGAGAGGAGGAGGCTGCATTACTGCAAATGGCAAAGGACAGATGTATTTACACCTACATGGGCAGCACCTCTGAGCAGCGCTCCGAGGAAACAAGGCTCTTCCTTGGGAGCAGCTGCTTCACCTTGCGACTGCGCAGCGATCAGAGGGGGAGAGGAGCTCAGAGCCAGTTGGCTTTTACACTCTCTGTTCACTGCTCTTCTGCTGTTGTACCCTTAAAAATTAAAAAAATTTCATCTGTTGCAGCACAGCTCTAAAAGTCAAAATCGGGCTTGAAATGCTGTAAAATTAAAAGTCTGGATTGACCTTCCTTTTAACGTACAAAAAGCTTCTTTAGTTCTGAACGTCTTCAGGGAGTCTTGGAGGTTTTGTTAACCCAAAAGTCAGGGTGGGTTTTGTTCTGCTGGTATCCAAGACAAGCAAAATATTTTCCAGGTACTGAAAGGACTGATCAGTGCCCTTAATACCATGTGTCTGGAGCAGAGCTGCAGAGCATGTCACGGTGCTTGACAGGTGGAATGGCAGTAAATTTTTCACAAGTGTTCCCCTGTAGCCCCGTGGGAGTGAAGGAGGGAGTCTGGAATTGTGTCATGACTGTGCTGTTCATCCCAGGTGCTTTTTTTGTGCCGTGCAATCATGTAGATGTTTGGGACGTGTCCTGATCAGTCACTGCTGTGAACAAACCCTCTGTTCTGGGCAGGAAGTGTCTGGGAGCGTCACCTCCTGTGCTACCATCGCTGGCCTTTCCTTCTCCCCTGCTTCTCTCCTTGCTTTTTCAAGTCTCTCACTGTAATTTCCTCACCTCCATCAAGCACTTCATCTCTGTCCCTACATTTTGCCATCCCATTGCCTGGCTTTCCTGCAGTTTGTGCTGTCAGCACATCCTGAAGGAGCAGAGAGGCTTTCCCAAAGGGGCTCTAACACTAATGAGTGAGGAAGCATCTGATGTTTTAAAGATCAGGGGGATGCAGGACAGCACAAGAGCTGGATGTAATAAGTTTTTATATATCCATGCCTCAGTTTCCCTCTCAAACTTTTAATAGTGATGCTGAATTCCTTGTTGGGGCTGGTGAATGGGTTAATTCATTGCTCATTTACAAAGAGCTTATAGATTTGAGAGGGGCAGAGCTGGATGATCCATCTCGGTGTCTATAAAAGGCAGTGAATCAGAACATTCTAGAAGACAGCTTTGTGCTTTGCAGGAGCTTTATAAGCGTTCCTTGTGTTTGTGGGATGAGTTGCAGTTTGTTTCCAGTTGGTAAGAATGTGGGGACATGGAAAAAGGGAAAGAAAAGATACAATAATTGCCCCGAAAGAAAAACTCTTGTCCAAGTTGGCTCCTCTGACAGCAGTATTTGTTTTAAGTTCCTCCAGGGACATGGTCATTATATTTGGATCATACTTCACTCTCCAGTTCATCCTTGCTGGAGTGAACAGCAGGATGGAACCTGCATTAGTTGGGCCTTGTCAAAACAGAGGCATCCAGTGTTTCCTCCAGGAAAGGGAGAAACCTTGCCTTTATCCAGCCAGGAGATTCAGACAGTGTGTTTTTAAACATGAAACTCTATCCCCTCTATCTTAACTCATCCCTCATTCCACTCCCAGTGAGGAAGGGGGAAATAGGTAAAGTGTGTGGTGCAATTTTACCATTCTAATATTTATGCACAGCAAATCCCTGGTGTTTGGTTCATTTTGTGCCAGAGAGCTTCCTTTGTCCCAGGTTCTGCTGGCTGAAGCAAACAAAAACAAGGAGTGCAAAGTCATGGGGTCACGATACAATTAAGTAGGAAAAAGTAGCTGAAAAGGTCAATTAAAAAGTTAAAAGTAAAGCCCAAGAATTCAGCACAATTGTCTGAAGCTGGACCCATTTCTCAAGCGTGTTTTGTGTCACCTTTAGCTTCTGCAATACATTCTGGGAATAAAGCAAGCGCTGTAATGATTTGTAATTGATATGAAATACAGTTCCTTGCACTAAATTTTGCTCAGATCTCACTGTTTATGAAAAGCTTCCTGACATGGCAACATATCCCAGCGAGGGTCAGAATAAATGGCTGTTGCACATTTAAAAGCTTAAATAGCTTTTATCAAACGTTACAACGCGAAATCAAAGCGTTTCGGTTTTCAGTTCGCCAAAACTCAGAATGAGGTAAGGCACTGGGAAAACTCTGTCAGAATTTTGAATCCTAATCATCTTCCTTCCCTGATTTCCCTCTGGAATTTCTCAGTAGCCACGAGGAAGGGGCAGCTCGGTGAGTTTGTGCCTCTCTGGCTGTCACCGAGCGCGGCCATCTGGTGCTGTCTCTTCAAGGTTGGGTTCTCCTCTAATTTGTGGGCTCTCCCTCTCGCTCTCAATTAGCATTCCATCCATATTATGGGAAGGAAAGAGTGGAAAACAATCCCTTATATAAATATCATGGGGGGGAAATAATGGTTGTCTTTAAAGGAATCAGGTCTCATGAGCAGAAAGGAAACGCTGAGTTGTTTTCCTCGCACTTAAAGCTTTTTCCTGAGGCTCTGCTGTGGTCTTTGCAAGTGTAATTGCATTTTGTTCGTGATACAAGATTTTCTATCCAAAACCAACCAAACAAAACCTTCAGTTGAAGCCTGTGTCCACCTGGGTCAATTTGTAATTAAAATAAGGAGAATTTGTTCATTTGCAAGTATAATCAGCTCAACGTAGTATGTTGTGGAGAAAGTAAAAGCCTGTGTTATCTTCTGAAATGTTCTAATGGGCTCAGCTAAGTGTCATTTGCTTGATGTTTGCAGACAGAGCCACTGAGGCAGAGAAGAAAAAAAAAAATAGTTGCCAAAAAACCATCCGTGATCATAATTTAGAAATTTAACTCTGAGCTCCCAGGCAGATCCCACCACTCTGCAGTGACCCTTCAGATTTACACACAAGCTGCATTCTGTGTTTTAAATTGTGTTGGCTGTGGGTCTTGCAGGAGATTTAGCTTTCAGTTAAATATTTAAGCAGTGCAATAGTGCTGGGCTCATCTTTTGTTGAGCCGTTAGAGCGGCCTTTGACTCGGGCTGAGTGTTGGCTTCGGAGGAGATCACACAGTTCAGACAATTCAAGTGGGTTTTCTCCCTGTTCAAAGATGATATATTAGGTCTAGAAGGGTGGTTGGTTCTACCAGATGAGCTCTGTCCCCCAAAATGTTGACTAAACATCTATTAGATACAAAAAGCTAAAGACCAGTCCCTTACACAGAGCTCAGAAGCTCTTCATTATGTTTTTGCCTATAGTACTAATTAAAAATAGTGGGTTTTTCTGCAATATTCTATTCTTTATTGGGTTTTTACATCTTTACATGTTGAGGGATGTGTGTTTTAGGTCTGTACCTCCACCTAAATGTTTTTTTGGGAGGATGCCTTCATTCATTGATGTTGTGCTCGTGTCAGATTTAGTTCACCGAATCTTTTTTTATCAGGCTGGTATCCTTTTAACTGTGTAGGCCCATGGCTGAGTGCTTTAGTGCTGCACCTTTTCTGGGAGTTCATTGCCTGAAAATATTCCACCTGTTTCAACTGGCCAGGATTTATGGCTGAGTCAGGGTGTAAAAAGGAAAACGAGCCATTGGCATTTACAAAATCAATTAATCAGTGATTTTGTGGCTGATGTCACAGCCCAAATGAGAATCAGAGAAGCCTTGAGCATGTGAGTAGCTCCAAATTTGCCTCCTGCTCCTCCTTTTCAGATTTTATGCAAATGTCAGTGTGGCAATGGCTTTCTAAAGGGAGATACCCGTTGAAAATGCCCTCGGATTCATGGGGGTGATGCCACTTTAAAAACCATCCACTGTGCAAAATACCTGAACAAAAATGACAATAAAACCACAGTGTAGATAAATGGTTGGGGTGGCCAAAAGCACTCAGCTTTGTGTCTGGTGATTTGAACATCAGATACCTCTGAACCAAGTCAGGGTTCTCCCTCCTGCATCTGTGCAAGCTTTGATGTGGGGGCAGAAGGTTTGCTGGGTCACAGAGTTGCTAAAGATCTTGAATTTAAGGTGTATTTCTGTCCTGGCAAAAGGCTGGAGTGATTTCCCCTAAAAGGGGGCTGTAGGCTTTTTAATTTTGGATTCATTGTGCTCGTACCTGTCGTTGTTTTTACTCAGGACTTGCCTCCTCCCAGTAAATTTGTAAAACCGCCTCACTCGACCTTCAGCGTTTCTCGGAAAACACCCCCAGATTTGTTGGGTTTGGTGCTAATTTTCCTGTCACTTTTGGCTTTAATATCTGCCACTGCCTCAGATGTGTGAGCAGGTCTGAGGAAGGAGCCCTAAGCTGAGTCTAACCCGAGCTGTAACCCCGAGCCCAGCTTGCACGGATGCATTCCCCGTGTCCCAGCATGAGGAGCCTCCCCGGGGGGTTGTGCTGGGTGGGAGCTCAGGGTGCTGCTTCCAGGACAGGGCATCAGGAAGGGTTCCACAAGCTATTCTGGGGACTTTCTGAGTAAATCTTAATGGCATGATGTACAGTGGACTTGTTGGGAATGGAGTTTTCATCTAATTTCTGTGCATTTTTCCCCTTTCCGTGAAGACCTTACCTGTTTGGAGCAGGATGTTTTTCCATAAAAGCTCCCTGGTGAGTTCCCAGTTCCAACCCAGCATGCCTATAAATCCATTTGCTGTCCTGGCTGAAAATAACTCTGTGCTTAGACTTTTTAATTTTGGATTAATTTCCTTGTTTACCTGCATGGCTGATCCATAGGTTTCCACCCCCATAATTTCACTTTCAAACCATGAGATGTGTGTTCCCCACCGAGCATTGCAAAGAAATGCATTCACCTTCTTGATTTCTTTTTTACCTTTGAGAGTGCATTTAATTTTTAAGTAGCAGGGAAGTTGAAAAAATAAATTATTTCTAAGTGGGCAGAAATTACTGCAATGTCTTTCCAAACAAGGCTCTTTTTTTTTTTTTAATTCTATATTGCTTCCTTTATTATTGGAGCACTAAGTTGCTTACAGACAGAAAACATCGATGATGACCTCTGGAAAATAAGCCAGATTAGCAGTGAGTAGGCAGTAAAGTACTGCAGGGAGAGAGAGGTGCAGCAAATAAAATGGGCACTGGAAAAAGAAAAGCTGATTTCACTTGAGAAAAAAAAACCCCCACGGAATGATTTGGGTTGGAAGGGACCTTCGGGATCATCTCGTTCCAACCCCCTGCCATGGGAAACAGTTCTGTTAAAATCAGGATATTTGAAATAATGAGGGGGTTTGGGTTTAATATGAAAAATTGCAGCAGGTTGTAAGAATAAAGACAGGAGAAGAAGCAAGTTTTAACAAGTGTTTTGGGTTTGGAGCTTGGTTCAGTGTTTGAGCAGTGCTACATCACCTCCATTTCCTAATGGGATGAGGGTCAGGCGGTCCAAGTTTTGGGCAGCAAGAACTGGGGAAGTGGGAATATCTTAGAAAATCTAAAAACTTTCAGCTTGGAGGTTTTTGGGCTTTGGTTCTTTTGGGGTTGGGGGTTTTCTGCCTGTTTTTAATTTAGCTCAAGATGCTGCTGAGCTGTTCCTGTCAGTGTCTGTTAGAATATTTGTCCATGGCTCCTGGTTTTGCTGCTAGAAGTTGGTTCCATGTTCATCACCCCTTGTGTCTGTGCCAAAATATTATGTCCAGCAGAAAGAATTTCTTCAGAGCTTTGTTGGGACACAAACCTCTCTAGGGAAAGGCTGAGGACAGTTGTGGGGTTTATGGGAGCTGACCCAGGAGAAGCAAAGGAAAGAAGGGGACTTTGCCTTAACCCTGGAGAATTTCTGATTACTGAAGCATCTCCCTAAACCCCATTTCCAAATGCAGATTATGACACAGCTCAGAATTTTGCCTGATGGGGCTCCAAGAGCACCAGAGGCTCTGGAAGAAGAGTTTTGGCAGAGGATTGTGGCAGTCACCCCCTGCACAAATTTATCAGCCAGAAATGAGTTGAGATGGAGGCAAGATTAAAAGGCTGAGATTAAAGGGGGGGAAATATATGAAATAGGCTCAAAAATTGTTGCCTCTCTTTCCCAAGACTTTTTTTGTGGTTTGTTTAATGCCAGTGCAAGCTCAGAAATATGGTCCTTGCTAAGTCTGCAGAGAAATTAAGGATAAAAAACACGCTTTGGGTGGGGGAAGAAATCATGTTGTTTCCATTAAGGTCTTAATGAGACCTAAAATTCTGTAAACAAAACGAGTGGAGGTTTGACAGGGAAGAGCCTGGTGAATAAAGGAGCCCACCATTCCTTTTCCCTGCTTTTCCTTGCTTTGGTCGTGATGTGACAACTGGAAACGTGGCTTTGGTTTCCTTGGTTTAGGCACAAGGATAAACTAATTAAAATTTATGTACTTGGAGGGGGATTTTTTTTTTTTTTGGTAATTTTATGTGCAATTGTGAATTTCACCCAGGATTTTTCTCCTGATACTTTTTTTGCTACTTTTGTAGTTGAGATAAAGCTTTTCCCTTCAGCAGTGTTTTGGTGGGTTTAGTGTGGAATTGTGGATAAATGCTTTTATGACTCTCACATGTTTGTTGGAAATATAAAATCAAAGTGATTCTCAGTCTTTGCAGCCTCTTACTATTGATTAATAATATTTGAATTTATAAGGCAGTTCATTCATATCATACATTTGCAATTCATTTATTGTTTAAAACTCATGTCGCTGGTTTGACTGTGAACTTAAAGGTACATTTAGGAACCAGAAGACTTTTGTGAGACATAAAGCTCTTTGAGGAACCCCAGTTGTGAACTGCACAGCCTTCTGGCTTTCAAAATATTTTACTAATGTTAATTCATATAAATAAAACAGAACAGAAAGTGCAAACTAGTTAAAATATTTTAACTATTTAGCATTTTTATAGAGAGCTAACACAGTACATTCCCAGAGATTAGGGCAGAGTTTGGTGTGTTACAAAGTCAACAAGTGGTGGCACTGAATAGTTTCCATAGGTCTTAATCTGTTCTTGTTGTGTTGGCAACATGAAAGAACTTCCACGCTGTGCTGGGTCCCTTCACTGCTTTTTAAGCTCTGACCAAGTGATGTCTTAATTTTCCTCTTTAGTTCCCTCCCATCTCTCTTTGTGCCATTCCAGCAGAAAATGCCCGTGGATGTTTTTTCCTGGACGTGTCTGTGTCTCCATCTCGGTGCTTCTGCATTTAGAATGGAAATAACCCTCCAGAGTTGTGTTAGAAAAATTAATAACAGCCCAGATTTCCCCAGATCCTGTGATATTGAGCCAGGTTTTGGCATTAACTTGACTTTTGGAGGTGACTTTGACTGTAGCAGGGGCAGGTGATGTGACATGGTCTGCAGTGGAGACACAGCTCTTATTAAATTTACAGCAGAGCAAGAGCTAAAAGGACAAGATTTCAAAGGTGTTTTTATTACTGTTGTATTTGTGATAGAGTTTTCTGCAGAGATACAACTGGGATAAAACTGCTGCTGTGTCTCATTGAATTCCAGGTGTAGCTGCACAGTTGAGTGGAACCAGACAGGAAAAAGTAAACTGCTTTTTCATTCTTCTGATGTCTTACATGTAGTGCTGCTGTTTCTAATGTTTGAAAGAAATGAAGATTGAAATTATAATGGGGGATGTTTTGGTCCCATTTGCTTCGCTGTCCTGGTTTTAGTGTTGATTCCCAACACCCTGAGCTTCTTCCTGCCTCCCTTTTCAGGAAAAACCTCTGGCACAACATTTTGGAAGTTCCTATATTGTGAAGATTCTTTTAAAATTAACTGTTTTTTAAAAGTGAGGGCAAATGTGCCTTTATTTCAGATCTTGGAATAATTTATGAAGTGCTGACAAGCCAAGAGCAGGAGTTCAGAGCAGAAACAAGTCATTCAGCACCCACCTTCCACATGATTGTTTTGTTATCATTTATAAAGCTGAGAGGGTGTTTGCATCTGCAGAACAACGAGGATTTATAGTTTCCAAGCTGTTAAAATATCACAATGACACGAAAATGTATTTTGCTAATGGCTGAGGATAACTGGGCTTTGGAGCTTTGCTGAAGGGATGAAACTGGAGCTGGAATGTGTTGATGAAAACTCAGGGATGGAGGAAAATGGGAGTAAAATTAAAAATCCCTCAGTTGCAAGAGGTTTCAGAAGAGACTTGTTGACATCTCAGCAGTATTTTCAGAGCTCTGTCCAAACCAATAGATGCACTGGGGGTGTTTGGGTTTTTTTGTTTGTTTGTTTGCTTTGTTTTCCAGCAGGGCTGAGTTTAACCACAGGAGTAATCTGTGTTTTACAAGTTCTGCTCTCTCTGCCTACAAAACATCCTCCTCCGAGGGAAAATGTTCTGGCACTGAAACCAACACTCAAGTGCCTGCCTTGAAAGATGTACATCTCAGAGACAAGGTGGAAATAGAACCCAGCTTGGACCATTTCCTCTAAGGGTGTTTGTGACTGGATTTGGTTGGACACAAGAGTGTGGAGAACCCAATAAAAATGTATTGTCATAGTCCCAGGTTCACTTCTGCTTCAGGGCCTGAAGGAATGGAGATCAGTTCTGTCTCTGCTGAAGTTTGCTCCAGTTTGTAGCTGAGAGTAGCATTTACTTCCACATTTTTTTTTCCCATTTTGAATTATTTTATGAACCTCTGACAGTTATTTTAATGATTTAAACAATAATTTCATAAATCCATCAGGTTGTGTTGAGTAAAAATTGAGAATATTGAGAATATTAGGAGAGTGTAGTGTCAAGAGTTTCTAAGACTGAGTGTGGCTGAGTCAGACCTGTGCTCGTGGTGTGCCTTGTATTGACTGATGGGTGACACTGTCCTTCTGAACAACCTTCTTCCCTACTAAAAACAATCATTTACTGAAATGTAGACCAGTAACAAGACTCTAATTAGTGGATGCATTTCTATTTTAATTTCTGAAGGAATTTTAGTGTGGGAACACTTGAAAGGCAAGAGCTAAAATAGTTCTCAACATACAATTTGCTTAAAAATACTGTTTGTGTGACAGATGATTATTTCAAAGTGAAAGAAATCTATTCTTGTTTTATTATGACCAGCTAATAAAACACTTATTAGTTAACACACTATCAATTTAAATATCCTAATATAGATTGTGCTGTGCCACTGCAAGCAAGGGAATAAATATATTTAGAATCAGGAACTTTTTGGAACAGAGTTTCTGACCCAGCCATGTGTAGCTGGAGGTTTAACAGTTGGATATTAAGTGCTTTGTGGTGGTTCAATAGCAGAGTTACTGACTATAAATTGCAATTGCTCTTTTGGGACATTCCAGCTTCTCCCACTTGTAGAGCTTCAGGTCTGATCCGAGTCCATGGAAGTTTGTCTGAATTTTTCCATGGACACAGATCAATGTGATGGAATTCCTTTGGAAAGAGCTTTTTTTGTTTTAATTTCTAACTGATACATAGGCTTGCTATGTGAGTGATTTATTAGTATGTGTGGTATTTTAGTATAAATTAACTACAATTATACAACATTTAAATTGTTTTCTGCCACTTCAGAGTATTTTTCTGCTGCTTAATTGCATTGTAACACTTGCAGTGATTTGTCTGCACACATTTATGTGCACACTCAGAACCATTCTCTGAAGATCATTGCTTAAAAATTGAAGATTGTTCCTCAAAACCGAGCAGGTTAATGTGGTGTAATCACAGGCTGAAATAGAGTGGAACAAGAAATTAGTAGAAGAAATAAGAAATAATATATTAGTAGAGGAAAAAAGAAAAGGAGGAAGAGGCAGCAAGAGAAGGGAGCAGGGAAAGAGAGTAGAGATGGAGAAATATAAAATAATTTGATTAAAAAGAGGGAGAAGAAGCAAAAATGGAGAAGGAGAAATCCTGTGTGGACTTCTGAGACAGCTTTTCCCTTAAGGAAAGGGTGGGATCCTGGTTTAATCTGGTTTAAACAGGCAATGCTCTGGACACAGTGCTGAGTTTGTGCACAGCAGAGTGTTCTGTACCTGCAGGTTCCTGTGGGCAGGAACCACTGCATGGTGTTTTAGGAAAACAGAATATAAAATTTCCATATAAACCCTTTTACCTGCTCCATACACATCGTGGTTGCAGAGGAGAATGTCTCTTAATCTGCTTTTCCGTGATGTAATTCCTGGTCTGTTCTAACACGTGGCTCGTGAGTGTTGCATCCTTTCCCTTCCCTTTATCCTCTGCATGTTTTCCCTCTCCTTCTTCTTATATCCCATGGTTTCAGTGCTGTGCTGAGTTAGAACTGAGCAGCAGTCCAGGTTATTCCTGACTTTCTTTTGCAAATGCCAGAAAATCTCCACCACCTGGAATGGCTACCCCAGAATCTGTATTTTCATTCCCAAAGGATTGAGGATTACAAGTGTTTGTGTTCGCTTCTGAAATTGTTTCTGTTGGATGTAAATATTCAATATTGGGTCTTTTAAACAGCCCAGTTCTCCATTAGGAGCCAGTGCTGTTCTTCCAGTTAATAAGTTCAGTGATCCAGGGGAATTTGGGACCTATCACTGGGAGACACTGAGCATCTGTAAATCCTGCTCGGTCTTCTGGGAACTGCAGAGAGTCACCATTTCTGAACTAAGAGGTTAAAATGGCTGTTAAGGAAGGGACACCTTCATTTTTAACTTGTATAATTCTGTTTTGTTCTTTCCTTTAAAGCAAATCCAAACCAGCTCCCCAGATTTCACCCAGTAAGTCTGTGGGGGGAGAGTTCTGTGTCGCCGCAGTCTTTGGATCATCAAGGTCATGGTTTGCAAACAATTCCGGTCTGAAGCGGGAAAAAGGTGGGTGTCTTACAAAATGAGGGCTTGCAAATTTAAATTTAAATTTAAATGCTTTGTTTTCTCATTCTGTGACAAGTTCTGAGAAATCAGTGTGGATTTTATTCCTTAAACTCCCTGACAATGGAGATTTTTGGGTACATGGTTGGGGTGCTTTGGTAGACAGGACAATTTACAAGACATTTTAATTAGTGAAATAAATCATTGATCTTCTATTATGATACAGTGAGAGAAAACAAACTTTGGTAGTTCAGTCCAAAGCTACTGTGTGAAGGGGCACTGAAAAGCCTGCGAAGTAAAGGTTAGACACCTCTGCTAAAACAAATGCCCAGACACAAATTTTGGGGGGGTGTAATTCCCTGAACACACCTTGGCAAGAAACTCTGTTCCACCCTCTTTCTCTTTTATGAGATATTTGTATTTTTTTGAAACAGGGGGGAAATGGTGTGTTTTGCACAGTTTTCTTTTTGTCTTTCCAACCCTTTTGCTTCTTTTAATTCACATTTTTTGCCAGCGAGGAAGAGACTTAAAAGAACACAGAGTCTGCTATTTCTGTAAACGTTTTTCTCTGTTTCTGCTGCAATGAGATTTTCTTTCCTTTTGCAAACAGATCAATCCAAGCAGTTTGTGGTGGAGTCCTTGTACATCATCAGCTGTTATGGGAGCCTGGTGGAGCACGTCCTGGAGCCAAGGCCCCTCAGCACAGCTCCCAAAATCAGTGATGACACCCCCCTGGAAATGCTGACCTGCCCCAGAGCCAGCTGGACTTTGGTTAGGTAGCTCATTCCTTTCACTTTGCCTTCTTTTGGTCCAGAAAGTGGTTGTGATCTTTCTTTTTTTCCATGACCTGCATCACTCATATTTTTATTTTCAAACTCATCCTAAAGACTCTTAAAGTGTTCCATTGAAGGAGGGGACACTTGATGGGAAATCCCATATAGTTCTGTTAGTGTTTATGTGTCCCATTTAAATACTTCTGTGGACGTGGAGCTACGTGAACATATTTACAAATCAACAGAGCTCCTTATTAATTGCTGATTTTAAATGATCAGATTGTAATTTACTTTTTATATAAGGACCGGAAACAATTATTTTAGTGGTGTTGAAGTCCAGAATTCTGCTGTGAGACAGGAGGGAGGTTTCCACACTGAGGCATTGCAAAGAGTTAGGCAAGTTATCCTGGGAGCCAGCTGAAGGTAGCAGTTCTTAAGACAGTTGAAGAAATTATTCCTGACAGGTGGAGGAAAGTAAACAAAAATTGATGAGAAAGTGTCGTCAGTGCTTTTGACGTTTTAAAATATTTTCCTATCGATTTTCCTCGGCTCCCATATTCCTTAGTGCTGCTCATGGCTGGGCTGGACTGATCAATACTTGATTTACCAAGCTATTTAGGAATGGCCCACCCTAATTAAAATTACAACACAGACTTCGGGGCCATTATTGTTGAAATGAGTAGGTTGTAATGGAATTGAAAATTCTAATTGGATCAATAGCCCCTAACTTTACACAGCTTTATTTTCACAGTTTGTAAAGTGTTCAGTGACTTCCCAGGGTGGGAGCAGTGCTGGTGAACAGAACAAAAAAAGTTCCCCAGTTTCTGTTGTGTGTTTATATAACGTCAGCATGACATGCAATGGTCCTAAACATATTTGCCAACTTAATCTAAACCTCCCTCTTGGGTTTTTTTTGGGTTTTTTTTTTGTGTGTGTGTGCAATCCATGCTGCAAGTCAACAAAGAAGAATTGTCTTTGCCTCACAGTCTGCAGGGTTTGGCCCTGCTGCTCCACTGCCTGTGGTGTGCTGCAGTGTTTGAACAAGCTAATTTAAATAATTACAAACATTTTGCGAGCTTGTATAGATAATTGCATGTGATGACAGAAACACTGATTTACATTCTCTGTATTAGCTTAAATATTAATAGTCTTGTGTTTTACCTCAGAACTCCTCAGTGGAATGAGCTCCAACCACCATTTAATGCAAACCATCCTCTGCTCCTGGCTGCAGATGCTGTGCAGTACTACCAGTATCTTCTGGCTGGCTGTGAGTAGCTGACAACTTCTTGTCTTGTCTGATGTGCACATTTTCTGCAGAGTGGGGCTTTCTGAGCTGGTTTTTCAGCCTGTAATAATTTCAGTGTATGTTCAGTGTATAACTAACTGTGTGGAGCACTGAATGTAATTTGGGGATTTTTTACATGAAGCAGAGTTGAGAGGCTGTCACACAGCCAAGATGGGAGTGTTTGGCTTGAGAGCAGGGCCCACTGGATCCCCTGAAGTCCTCAGGGTTTCCTCACCTGGTTCCTTCTCACACTTTTTGCCATTTCCTCTCGTGAATTCCACATGAATTCAGTGACAAGTGAGTGCATCTGCATTTTCCCCCTCCCCTGGAACTCCTGGTTGCTGGGCTCCTTCCAGCCAGAGCCTCAGGGAGCTGCTTCCCTCAGGAACCTTGGCACTGCTTCCACCAGGCACATCATTCCCAGGGAGCCAATATGCATGGCATGGCATATCCAGAGACATTTATATATCTATGTCTATAGGTAAAATTTGTGTGTGTGTGTATATATATATTTTTTTTTTTACAAACCCATGTTTGGGTTTTACAGACAAATTAGTATCTTTGTGAGGTTTTATTTGACAATTCAAAAAAGGGAAGACTACTGTCAGTGAGTAGCAAGCCTCTGTTTTATCCAGGGTATAGTCAGGATCAAAGCAATAATAAACACCAAATACAAACAGAATAATAAACACGGAAAATCATCTAGAGGACATGTTAAAAATGGCATAACAGAGAAATCTGTGTGTGTGTTCAGATTGGTTCAGTGTGACTCCACTCAGTGAAATTCCTGAAAAAAAATGGAGTCAGAGCAGGTTTCCCAGAGCAGAGCCCAAGACACCTGGTAAATAACTGCTGACCTGGGTCCTGTGGCCCTGCTCTCCTGCAGCTCTGCCAGGACCTGCAGCCTGGGCTTCCACGTGCTCCTGCTTCCATCAGGGCCTTTAATTGCCAGGAGGTGGCTGAAGCAGGGGCTGGGGGGATGCTCCAGAGCCCTGGCGCCGTCCAGGGGCTCTGCTGGGATCTGTCCCCGAGGTGGAGCACAGCAGTTCCTCCCCAGCCCTGGATAGCATTTCTGCCAATTGTTTGGCTCCATTAAGTGTGCAGGGGAAATAAAAGCCTGAATGACCAAGTCACAAGGGGGTATGGATAGACCCTTTCTTTGTCCACACTCGGAACATTGCATTAGGTCTCATTATCCATTTATAATAAGTGACCTTTGCCCCCCCTGGGTCATTGAAAAACCCTCAGTGTGCTTTTTAGCACAGAGTACCTCTGTCAGCAGCCCGGCAGAACAATGAGACGTCTGGCAGGGCTGCACGGGCAGCCTTCCATAAAGGAGAGCTTTGGTGCCAAAACACGGGGCCAAAAATCTTCCTCAGCCTCTCCAAAAGTATAAACCAGGCCGGTGGCTTCTCGTGCTGAGCAGTGAATAACCTAAAAAACCATTTATTGACACCCAGCTCAGCTTTTAATGGCTTTAAAGAGTCTCGAAGTTGCATTCTCAGCTCAGAGGGAAGGAACAAGGAGCCATTGTTTGAAGGAAGATTTTGTACAACAAGTGTCCAAGACCTTTATCCCAAGGGTATTTGTAAGTGGATCAGCACAGCTGTTCCACTGCTTTGGGGTCATCTGGGACATCTGCTGCAGAAACCTGGCTGAGAGTGTGCAGTTTGTGCCTACCTGAGCTCGTTAGCATGGCCAGGGCTGGGCACAGGGGAGAAAGTGGGGAGCAGGAGATTTGCACCCTTTGTGGCTTGAAAGTGAACTTGCATGTAGAATTCCACAACCTGCTGGCCTGCAGGAAGTGTCAGGATCCTGCTGCCAACTGTTTCAGGCTTTCTGCAGTTGGTCAGTGTGAAAATATCCCATCCTGAGACCTCCTCACTTCTCACAGAGCAGATTCCAGACTCACTGTTGTCTCCATAAGAGTTCATCCCACAAAACCCCGGATTTATTACAATCCTCAGGTCCTCAGTGCTGGGTGTTAGGACTCAGATATTTTTCTGATTTAGTCCACAGTATTTTAGCTTATTTGTGTCTCTGGTATTCCCTCCCTGTGTCTTGAGCAACTTCTAAATCTAAGCACAGCAGAAGAAGGAAATCTAAGTCACATTTTATTCTTCCTGATTGTTTTTTCTCTAACATAAATACCATCAGGTGATGTAGTTAGACTCTCCTAGCAGACCTGGCAGTGGGAGGAGAGTCACTACACACGTGCACAGGAGAGGTTTTGGTGTCCACAGGAACTTTAAATAGAAAGGACTTGGCTTTCTCCAGAGAATTGCCAAATTTTGTCATTAAATCCTGCTTTCTTCCAGCTGTTTGATACTTAGGAATTAGGATGGTTCTGGCAGTATAAACTCTTGAGGATGCTGTGAGGATGGGCAGGGGCACCTTCCAGCAGCCCAGGTTGCTCCAGGCCCTGTCCAACCTGGCACATTTGAGTCCACACAGACACGAGCCTGGCACACAATGGAATTTCCATGGAAATAGGGAACTTGGCATCACAGCAGAAAGTCTGCCATCCTTGTTTCATTCTTCTCATTTCCTCTCTTCCTTATCCCTCCACTTGGAATTCATTTTTTCGTTGCACTGGAGGGCTGGACAGGACTTGCAATATCTGAAAGGTGGCCAACTAACACATTAATGAATAAACCCCCTGAATTAGACCAAAAACTGCCCCATGAAGGTATTGAATAAACTGAGATCTGATTTCTCTCCTCTGGCTCTGGAAAGGGCACCTTCACGTTCCAGGCAAGAGTTTTGGCTCATCAGGACCAATTTTATGGACACGACCTGCAGTTGTCAGGAGTGGGCCAGTGACAAGAATTAATATATTAACTGGTATGCAGTACTCTGACAAATTGCTTACTAAATACATCAAAATTGATTGGGCATTCTGTGTTTAAATTGACAAATGACTGCATTAGGGGAAGGAGGGAAATCCATTAATTACAGCTGCCCTCAACCATAGGAAATGTAATCGTATAAATATAGATTTTGTTAAAACAAAAGTCTGTACTTTACTCCAGTGTTGCTGGTAAGTGTACTTGCACCTCTCTGCTATTAAACCTGCAATAGGAGGTTTTGAAGACAGATCTTTGCAATTGGCTTTTAAATAATCAAAGAGCATTTCTGTTGTGTTAAAAGGAATGGTGCAGTTGTTTCTGCATCCCGCCCTGACCGCTTCTGCAAATTGTTTCTCCCTCAGAAAAATGGACCTGTAGCCCAGGCTGCCGCTGCCTCATTAATTGTTTATTCTAAATGCAGTGTAATTTGTATTCCAAGACGTTGGGATTCAAACCAGTACTCTGCATTCTCCTTCTTTGTCCCTGTCCTGGTCTCCAAGTAATACTTGCAGGGCTGTTACTTATTTCTGAGTAAGAATTTGCTCTTGAGTTGGGCCTGAAGATATGATCAGTTTTATAGACTTTGTTAAGGGATTCTTGAAAAGATTAAGGCCTGTATTTATAGCTGCCTTTGACTTTTGGCTGTTACAGCAGATTTTCATTTCTGGACCAACTGCTGCACATATCTTGTGTTTTACTGAAAGTGGCTTTCATTAGAAGTCCAATTTAGTAACTATCCATTGTCTTCAAAGGGAAGGGGTGAGCCTTCCCCTGCTGTTTGTTTGGGCTAAATGATAACACCATTTATACAGATAATCTCTGTAACTCTGACATCATGTTTGCACTTCCTTCTCCCTCTCATGAAAGCTGTGCACCCTGAGCAAGGCTTCTCCCAGCAGCACTGGGGTTCTTTATAACCCATTTATATTCCTTTCCTACATTCCATTGATGGAAATAAAAATTACATACACAGAGCTGGTGAATACTGTGGAAAGCAGTGTGGAGGGTGGGAGGGGAGGGTGTATTAAATAACTGTGTGACTGTGAGCTGTGAAGACAGATCCTATGAAAACCAAGCCGTGGTGCCTGGAGTCACAGCCAAGCTGCTGCCACGGGAGTTACACCACAGACACAGGAGGAATCTGGTCCTTCTGGTCTGCCAGCCCTTCCCAGGTGAATGAACTGGGGCTGAGAGGGACATTTAGTGTTCTACCTTCATTTTCCTCCTTGCATTCTTTTGTGTGTGAGTATTTAACAGTGGGTTTGATCCCTCCCAAGAACATGGGTTATGGGACATCCCCTCTGTGTGTACCTCTGGTGTGTGGTGGGGTGATTTTGGGGAGGCCAGAGCTGGCCCTTGCTCTGGGGATGTTCAATGTCTATCACAAGGGAACTCAGTTTGAAATAATAGAGCTGACCAATTGAAGATATAGGTATCTGTATGAACATATAAGTGAAACAGGTAAAATATGTTGGAGAAGGATTTTGGCAATTTGAAATTTGGAATTTTTTACTGCATGTAAAACTGTTGCAGATCTTAAATAGATATGCTAGAAATATATACACTTATATTTATTTTTTATGAGTTACAGAATTCCCAGTGAAACTTGATTCCAAATGTGCATTTCTCTTACAGAATTGTTACATGTATTTGGATTTTTTTTGGCAATAGGCACAAAGAGTGGAAATGGAATTTTCAGGTTTACTTCTTACACTTGGAGGTGTAACAGATTCCAGACTGATCTGGGTCCCCTTCCAGAGAAGGTGTTTCTAATGAAACTGGAGTTCATGCTATTTTTTTAAGGGAAAACTATGTTTCCCTAAAACTGTAACCTGCACTTTCTGCTCCCTGCAGGAACTAGGATTGAGTGTTAAAGGGAAGCAAATTTAATTTCTGCCTGAGCATGGACTGATTGGGGTAAATGAGAGCGGGGTCAGGTCATGAAAGAGCTGCATGGTCCCGTGAGCAGTGGAGTAAATCACGATGTATTCTCCAGCCATAATTGCTGTTTGTGAAATAATATAGACAAGGTGGATAAAAATTAACTCTGTGAGGTGCTCTGGGTGCTGGGAACGTGCGTGTTGAGGGTTTGATGCAGAGATACACCTGGGCACGTGCGTGGCTCCACGGCTC